TGATGAACACTTACGGACAAGATAGTATTCATAATACTAAGAAACCTTTAATCCGGCAACATGCCACAGATAAACTGATTTCATAAGTTTTTCAAACAAATTGCAATATGCATGTTGCGTAATTTATATTATATAAATATGAATGGTAGCTATAAAATATACATTTTCTAATGTTTCTCCGAACAACATTTATCTGATTGTAAACGATAAATACATAGTACAAAAAATAAATTAATCCAAATAAGATATTCATCTACTTTAAATTGGCTTTAATCCAAACAACAATAAAATAAAATAATTTTATATGGTTATTCATAAATAAAGCGATAAAAATCGGATTGATAAAGTATACTACTCAGAAGTTATTTGAAAACATAAAAGTTCCGGTCTCAATAATTCATTTGTACGTGATTCAGTCGTATGCTGAATAACCTTGTTATTTTTAAATCTTTTCATTCAATATAATATTTATATTTTTTTAACTACTAAGATTATTAGCTTACATTAGGTTAACATATACTATTCAAATTAAATATAATAATAACAATAATAATGATACAAGTCTGTAATCTGTACTCGTATACAATTTATTGCCTGTAGATATTTATGGAAAATAAGATAAAATATCGACTTAATCAAAAAGTAAACATTATGTTAAAAAGAAAATCTTTTCACAAATTATATCATAGAAAATCATAAATGTATTTTACCTGAAACTGACATAGATAAATACTTCTATCCATATTATGACACTATAACTTATAAGTATTGATTAATTCAGTTAAAAGTGTTTCAACTGCTATAATATTGAATAAAGTTTAATAACGAAGTACATCATGTATAAAATAATTCAATAACTAAATTATATGACTTAACCTTGTAAAAAATAATGGATCAATACAAACTTATATAAATAATAAATATTTAAAAATATTTTTAATTAGGTCAACAACTAGCTGGAAATCAATTTTCACTCGAAAAAAAATGATACATTTATTGAAAATTTTATAATTTGCTGTTATTAATTTTTACTTTAAATGTATTTATCTTTAATATCTTAAGTTTTTAATTATATCTACTTAAAACATCATTCCAAATATTTTTATAACCTTAAATTACAGGTAAATGTTAAATTATAATAAATACTCGTACACTTATTGGTTATTCATTGATATTTTACAAAAAAAAACTATTATTGCTGTTCTTATAAATATTGACGAATGACAGTATACAAAATGAATATACAGTGTCCCTAAGACTAACAATCTGATGGATCACTCGTAGTTTCAATAAACCAAGTTATGTATGTATATTGTATATTGTACATTTTATAAAAAAAAAACTTAAATAACGTTATGTTTTTCTAAATAAATGATATAGCTTACATGATGACTGTCCAACAAAAAATCTCGGTTTGAAGTTTAAGTACAACCGTATAATATGTTTCCATGCCCGATATTGAACGAGCCATTAGATCACTACAAAATTTACTGAAAATTATCACTAATTTTAAATTAACAATAACTCTAAAGAATTATTACGTAGTAGTTAAATTTATTTTAGATGTTGTATTACATTCTAAATGGCTAAACTGTATATTTTTAGACACCAAAAATAGTTTTCTTGTACATAAATACGCACTAGGTCTTAAACATATGCCATACAAAAAAAATTTGATTAATATACAATACGTACTTGAACCAGCCGAAATTAAAACGACAAAACGTAGAGAAACAGCAGGTTGTTACAGTCTAATGAGCACACAATAAATTACCAAAAAAACTTAAAAAACCTATTATCTAACAGTTTTATTAATAACAATCGATTATAGTATCAGGGACGGTCAAACTTTTTTCGGCCGCGATCTACTAAAAATATACTTCACATTTGAGGATCGACTTCAATAAAAAAGTTTTTATTATTATTAAGTTACTATACCACCATAATTAATTTTCGTGTGCGCAGCCTAAAAATAAATTTTAGCACGATCGACTTTAAAATCGTTTGCGATCGACCGGTCGATCGCGATCGACTGTTTGGCCGCCCCTGGATTATAGATTAATTGTATCAAATTTCAATGATAAAAACTTAACAAGTTATCATATTAAAATAAAAGACAAGCAAAAATATCGATAATATTTTTTACGGACCGCTGCAATAATTGCTAACGCTAGACACGCATGTAATAATTTTGCATAACCAATGCGCCGCCATACGTTTTAAGACCACAGCATACAATAACAATAATAATACGTCCTGCTAATACACTAATAGTTGATGGTGAAGAGGCAAAAACATCATAATACAATTTTTATTAAAAAAAAAAAAAATTTAATGGAAATTGATTTATTAGTTCCGACAACAACGTTAATTTAAAATTACCGCAAACGACGATAACATAATAATTACCAAGGGAATGGTAAATAAAAATACAATATCGTAAACGATGTTTTTATAATAAAAGCTTCAACACCGAAATCAAACTGTAATAGCAATACTAGAAAAATTTATTTAATCCAAATGACACAGATCTTAAATCTTGATTCAAATTCAATTTCATTCATAACGAATTAACGGAAACAACATTTAGACCTAACCGTAACACGACTAACTATTCGTATTGTAATAAATAATTGATATAATTATTATGGTTAAATAATATTGTAAGCACGTGCTTCCACATATATCATTAATCCTTTCTCAATAATGTTAGGTACCTATCGTTACTTTTCAATTGTTATAATATGCACTAAAGGTATTAATATTTAATATGTTACGTAAATGGTGGCATACTAATAAGGATTTACTATGCACGTTAAGACAATCGTCATTTACAAAACGTTATTATACTATTTAATCAGTCTTTGATGTAACTCAATCTTATGTCACATTCAAATTATTATATAGTTATATTACAAAATTATTGTAATCAGTAATCCATGCTATTATCTATACTAAATAGTAAATGCCAGTGTTGAAACTCATCTAGATATTTATCTAAATAAAAATATTAATTATCTATTATTTTGTCTAAATTTAAATCTAAAATTTATAAATTTATCTATTTTAGATAAAAACTTAGACATCTACTAAAATTTATCTAGTTTTTTAAGCTGTAGAAATTATTTTATTTTTGTTCCCAGTAATACAATTACTCAACAGACTGTAAACGCGTGTTATATTATTTGATCACGCAACCTAATATTATAATTGAGATACTCATAGTAATATGGGTTAACAGCAACCAAACAAGCTTGTTGGAGAAAAAAATAGATCTATCTATAAAAAGTTTTTGTTACTGTTGAGTCATGAATTTATCGTGTTGATCTGTTCATTCAATCCCAACCATTTCTTTTAAATGCTTAAATCTATTCGTATACGAAAAATATAAGTATCCAACTACACGTACGATACAAGAACAGTTCGGTAAGATGATATCCGTATTATAATATTGCAATACGCCTCCTTCATAAGTGAAACCAAGTGACTGTCGATATTAATGTCTATTTCCAGTTGAGGAGCAGTTAGTTAATAATTATATATTAAAATAATTAAAAAAGTCATGTAGAGATTACTGCTAGTATCCACTTGACCGTTCAAAACTCAACTATATAGAATAAAATCAGTAATATGCACGTTCGTAGGTACGTAGACTTGTGTTGGAAATTGATTAAAAACACTTTTTATGAATTAGCCTACACATAATCACCGTCGTCTGTATCTGTCGATGGATTTATTCCATTAATTTCCCCGTTTGCTTTTTCAGTTCTACAATGCTCATTCACGTTCCTTTGTATCTGAGCGACAAGAGTGTCTCAGTCACCGTGAACAACAGAAAAAGTCAGGTTTAGAAAAACTACTATCCCGACGAGTCGTGGTATGTGTATACACAAATTAATGATGTTATATGATACGATATGGGCCTCCGAAATTGATTCTAATCGGTTGCAATTTTTTCGACCAGCCGAATTCAAGGGTCCTACTCTGTTTGGCACAAAACAGTGTCCGCACAAGAGCCCTAGGTAGTCCAATGACGTTGTAAATAGAAACGCGGTATATAATATGATTGTTGAATGCGTCAGACAACCGGCGACGCTCGGTTAACCGTAATCGAGGTGGAACCCATAAACCTAATTATTATAATGTTCGAGGTTTCGCGTGATAAATTTTAGAGCGCATAAGCGCGGGGTGGCGGCGGCCTCGCTCCGGCACGGGTCTCCCACAGCGTTCCGCTCCGCCCACCAACCAATGGACAAAAACTTACGGAGTGACGCGTAGGTGGTAGCGTAGTATAGGTGCACTGAAAACACTGTCGTATAAAATTGTATATTATGCATATATATATATATATATTAAAATTATACTATTATGATCGCTCAGTAATAATAATTCATCGGCGTCGTGTACAAATCGACCGGTCGGTAAATATCTATTTTCCATTCTACTATTTAAATGATTTCGTGACGTCTAAAAACTACGGTGTCCGGTCGTATTGTTGCTAAGTATAACACGATCATGTTTTGTGGACCGCAGTCGGCCACGCGACGTCGTACGCGATATCGGCATGTCACGCTATTGTTTTATTAGAACGATATGTATAGACGAAAGCTTTACAATATATATAATATGGTTTATTTACGAAGTACATACATATATGAACGATACAACCGTATAACATATTATTGTACTGTCGAGAACAACAACAACGACTAAAAGGTTGGGTTAAAATACTAACGGCGACGAAAAATACTGTCGCTACAACGCGATTTTTGTAATGCCTGTTGACGTCGCAACAGGTGGCGAGAAGTCGCGTATTTCTGACGCGGACATCCGAACCGGCCCCGTTGCACATACCACAATGCAATAGGCGTATCCGTGATAAAAAAAAAAATAAAAAATAAAAACGATAATTACGAAGACGTGTGATCAATTTATCACACGATATCGCGTCACACCGATTGTGGGGGGGGGGGGCGTTTAACGACGAAATTGTCACTCACCTTTCGCGCGTGTCCGACGACCACTTACCGGCCGACGATTTTTCGATTGACGAACGAGGTGCCACGTGTTCGTTAGACTACGACGACGACGACTGCTGTACCAGCGACACACTGACTGGCGTTCGTTCCCCCCGCGCTGAACACGGCACTGAACGGCCCCGTGGCGAACGCGCGGCGTGCGGACGGTCCTCGCGCCATCCGCGCCCACCCCTCCGGTCATCGGGTGGTGGTTTTTTTTTCATTCTTCCGCGCCGCCTGGCGAGACGATCGCACGCTGTACCCTGCACTCGTCGCCCACAATAATAATATCATCACAGTAATAATTATAGTAAAATATAGGGCTAGGATTTTAATGCCCTAAAAAATTTCAAAAAATACAAAAATAACTCGAAAAACTCAAAAAACGCGTTTAAATTTATTCATCATACTTAGCTTAAAAATTCGAAAATTTTTGAAAATAATACTACAGAAATGAATTTTTTTTAGTAGCTTATTGTACATTATTACTTGTTTAGTTGAATGATCTTCTGTTTTTTTTTTAATCATTAACGGAAAGGCCTTATCTATGATGAAATATTTGTTATTGACGATAATTTGTCGTGTTTTATATCATGATTTATTATCTGTAACGTTGACAATTCGTCGAAAGTATCTTGTTAATCGCAACAATTTTCGTTCATTTTATAAACAAATTGTGAAAAATGTTCTAAAATCGTCAAAAAATGGGAAAAAAGATGCAAAATAAATATTACTTCAAAATAATTAGTATCACCCAAACATATTTTATACTTACGAACCAACGTTCGAAGTACCAGAAAAAAAGATCCCAGCCCTAGTTATATATACGTATGCTTCGTTTTCGTTCTTTGTTTATTCGTTCACGACACACTTATGACGTTGTTGTACCGATTGTAATGCCACCGCCTTGCCTATGTAAAATGATCGATCGACGATTCGGCGTCAGATTCGCTGGATTCGGATCGTCCGGGCCACGCTTATAAACAAAAAACACGCGTCGGTAAACCACAAAAATTGTTGTTTGATAATGTTGTTGAAATGTTGTTGTTTGATTAGTATTTATACATAGGTACTCGTACAGCGGCCCTTAGGGTAGAGCCAGGCCTGGGGCAAATTTTTAGTAAAGAACTTTTTGATGAAAAATTTCATCAACGCGAGGCCCAGGATAGGGGCCCCGCTGGCCACTGCCTAAAGCCGACACTGTATTCGTATTAGAGCTAGTGTATGATATGTTCGTTTCGCTATTCTTACAATACCATACTATATGACTTATAAGTATATACTATTTTATGCTATAGTAGAAGAGTTGATTTTATTTGTAAGTTAAAAAAAAATATGAAGATAACTTATTTTGACTAACTCGATTAAAATTTTTAAGCATTATAATAAATGAAAACTAATTTGTGTACCTACTTACTATCAATTATAATTCATAAATAAAACAGGATTCGTTAATAAATTGAAAGTAAAACCTTTTCTTTTCTTTTTTTTTTTAATATATAATCCTGAGATAAACGTGTAATACTATAGATAATACATCATGATAAATGAGCACGCTTATACTTCGAAATCAGCATTTGCCACTGAAGTATACATACTCGTACTCCAAGAGGGAGAAGAATGGATTGCTTGAATTTTATTCCACTCCTCCTCTAACAAATATATCCCTTTCAACAAAATATCTTTATTAAGCGTACAATTAAACTCGCCACAGTTTTATAATCTTTTATTACCATTATTAATGAAACTACATATTATGTATACTGTCCACGTGTTTTTAATTTAAATGCCTAGATACCATTGATAAAAATCAATTTATAATCAATATTAGGTACGTATCCAGTCGTGTTTCATGAAACATAAAATTTGTTTTTATCAATGTTTTAATAATGTATACTTACTATTTACTAAATTTGAGACGATCCGCATTGGGATATTCCCAAAATAAAACGTGACAAAGGCGAAGAACGCCAACCTCAGAAGTTCACCAATTTGTGTTTTTTATCTAGAAAAAAATATCGTTGCATTAGATTGATTTAGTAATATTTATCAATTAAATATTAATACAATATGTTATGTATCAATTAATCAAATGTAAAATGCACTAAACTAATTGTTATGAACAATATAATGATATATATATTTATATAAAAAATGTACATTAATATTTTGTAAAAAAAGAAAAATAGTTCACATATTTCAAAAAAAAAAAAAATATTTACATTTTAGTTAATTACATTTTTATATTTCTGAATGAATGCATTTAGTTGCATTTAGTTATTTAATTTAAATATAATTCAAACGCATATTGCTATATATTTTGTCTGACCGTAATTCAATCATTATTTAACTCGGTGGTTCCCAACCAGGGGAGGGGAATTTCCCTCCACGGGAAATTTATAACTGGTTTAGGGAGAGGGAATATAATGATAATGAAATTACGAAAATAATTATAGTACTTTACATTTTTAAATTTACAATGTGTAAAATTGAAATCACTGTATAAATTTTCAGATTATCGTGCATCCAATAACTACAATTATATTTTCTAACGATAGCGGATAGACCTTTTCGTATTTAATCTAACATTTATTGGTACAAAATTTGATTAGAAAGACACGGCTATCTGTCAGCCTTCAATAAGAGATACAAAAAATAAGATATTTTCGTAATTTTAATACATTTTATCAAAATTTTAATTTTGAACGCTTGAAAAATATTGTATTCAAATATTTTTGATATTTTCTTAAGAAAAACTTATGAATAACCTTTTATTGAAATTTAAATTATCAAGCAATTTTACTCAGAAACAAACATTTTATGATACATCAATTATTAAAAAAAAAATTAAAAAGTCGAAAATTTTAAACCTCTATAAATAGAATAAAAAAAATCCAAAATATTTTTAAGATTTTAACATATTTAAAAACTGTAATATAAATATTTGGTCAACATTTCAAGTCTTGGCGATGGTTCATCTTGGACATTAATTTTAAGAAAATTTTCTATTTTTCGTAAATACTTTTTTCCTAACTATTTTAATATTAACAAGAAATTATGACTTTCTTTGCCCCTCTCCCCTAAGTACCAACAAGATCCAATTTTCTTTCAGAAATAAACTCCAAAATTGAAAATTGCTATGTTTTTACGATACAAATTCAATTAGCTGATAAAATACACAAAAAACCACGCACAAATGCACATTTACATATATAATCGCTGTTATATTGAGATACTTTTAGAAAATAATATACTAATAATGAAATACAGCGTTCTGGATAAGCTATTTAGCTACACATACAAGTCGCGGGCGAATGTCTACAATCTACGTATATATTTAGTGCACACCTACTTTCTATAGTTTCACTCTGAGTACTTTAGTGTGTGTGTGTGTGTAAGTAATATTAAACAAACGACAATAACAATGTACATCATTGTAATAGTCGTAATATACCGATATGAGATAATGTATAATAATATAACGGCAGCGTGGTAGAATCCGTACTGTGGAAAATTCCACGGAAACGTGCAAATGGATATCATTATATTTTATACTTATTCACTATGCGAATTACCGTCATAATACAATATTATAGTGTATTATTTCGTAAAATTCGCCTTTGCGTTTAATAAGAGTTGCAGAATTGTTTTACGTCTCAAAATCGATCCACGCGATAGTGCAAAAAGAGCGGCTCTACATTTGGTTATTATTATTATAGTACAATATAATGAGTATTGTACCTATCTATTAATGAATTATCATATTGCCAAATAATAATGTGGCACAATACATCGATACGTCATGGCAAGAAACGACCGTAAAACACGCGATTTCAAATGGCCCGATCGTTCAATGTATATCAATGGTTGTGCAAAAGATCGTGATACGTCACAAGCGCACGTCTAGTACAATGCGAAATTAGTTCTTTGACAAGAAGACGAACAGTGCATTATCATGATGTAGGTACTTACCTTAACTCCTACACGTCATTCATCAAAAAGCATTTATATGAGTATGATGGGACACGCAGAACCCCAATTTCCACAAGAAACGAAAACCGAAAACGCGGAACAACCGTGTTATTAATACACAAGATAATTCACCAAGCATGCTCATCGCCCACTTTTTCTTCTTTTACAATAATGCATTTATTTAAAATCTAATTTTTGAAATTTTCAAATATTTTACTTAAAAACCATATTTTCATATTCATAATATATTTTGTATACCTTATAAAGAATGTCCTGTAAATATACAATAACTTCTATTTTTATACTGTAAATAATCTAGCAAATCATTATTCTAAAAAATTTGAGGTTTCAAAATCAAAATTTTAACGCATAATTTTTGAGTTACTTCAATTTAACTTTTAGACAATAAATATTGAAAACAAGTTCAATCGAATTTTGACAGTTTTAAAAAAATATTAATACAAAATAAAAATTATTCATCCAAATATTGTTATTGACTTTTTATGCAATAAAAATCCTATGTACACATTTCAATAACAATTTTTAGGCCCTTAATATTATTTCTTATACATGGTTGAACAAAATATAACAACAAGAAGACGCCATTTAAAACACGATCGTTATTCGATGAATAATCATTATTATTAACATATAGTGTGAAAAAAATTGATTAAATATTATGATGTTAAACGAATTTCAAATTATTTAAATCAGTTAATTTTTTTTTTAATATTTTATTTATATTCACATTTTTAGGTATTTATTCAGTACCTATTCATAATAATAATATATGTAATAACAAATGATTAATTATAGTACCTACCTTAAATTGTACTGCAACATAATAAACTCGATTTAGTAGTGGTAATTAGTAATAAAGTAACACTACATAAATCGTAGAAGTCTACTAATAATTCATAAAAACAATGACTTTCAAGTTAAAATTAACACCATAGCTGCTGTACAGAACACTTGATCGCCCAATGCCATTCTTACACACTTCAGAATAATAAATTTGACGTACGACGATATAGTTGATCTTTAGCATTTTTCATTTTGATCGTGATGTGGCTTTTTACCATGCAAAACTATATCGCAGTAAAGAAATTAAAACAAAAAAATCTTGCAAATTAGTTCATTAAAAAGTATTACTATTATTCTTCGTGTTTCTCTAATGAACGGCAGTTAATCGAGCGGAGTAATCGAATTAACTAGTAATTTTTCGTACTGACTACAACATTAGTTATAACAAATTTGAATACCTAACGATGTCGCTACAAGCGTATTAATATAACGATAAAGTTTTTTTTCCTGTTTAAGAAAAAGTGTTAAATTATAAAAGGTAATTAATAATAATGAATATCTACCAACATTTAGATTAATCGTCTAATGTGGTAGATAAACATAACTTATGTAACATAATATAATATTCCATAACCATACATAACATACTTGAAGGTATTTAAAATGACAAAATACAATATTTAAATTTGTTCGACTATAAAAGAAACGCCAACAATATTACATGAGTTAAGAAATAATAAAAAAATATTATGTATAGTGTAAAAATACTTACATATATTATAGCTAAAATTTAAAAAAAAAAAAAAAGTATAGTATATTAATAAATCATTTTTTTACAAAATTAGTCGATAAATATTTTCCAAAATACACGTTTGGCCACGATACAATAATGTATCCATTAAATAGATCTTAAAATCATAAAATATGAAATAAAAATTACAAAATGTATTTTTTAAATTACAATACTATGAAACTTATTTTATGTACACTTTAAATATATGACCACTCACGAAAAAATATACAAGTGCATACAACTCTTTAAGTGGTTATTATTTTTTATACATCTCTATAACACAATTATCAACACACTACCAAGTACTAACCACCATACCCTGTTTATTGTTCACTTTAACAGTGCCGCACAGACCCATTAAACAAGGTAAAATAATAATGTAAATAAAAACTAATTTCAATTAGTTAGTTACCATTGTTTTTTTTCTTCTTCAGAACTCTAGTTCATAGCAAATATATAATCATAAACATATATTAAAAATATTTCCCTGTAGTAATAGTATAAAAATTAAAACAAATTATTTAAATTATTCTTATTTAACTTGTTCACCTAGCAATTAAGAGTTCAATATTCAAATAATAAATTCATTATAAATCATTTATTGTAATTCAAAACATAAAATTATTATTTAAAAAAGCATGGTATCATTAAAAATTATAAAAATATAAAATTAAATTAATTCATATAAGTATATGATCAACCTATATAAATATACATAAATATTCTATGGCATACAAATTATAAATTTATTTGTTGGATATAATTGCTTTTAATAGACTGCATACTTTGTAATTGCTGGTCACTAAGTTTCTGTAAAATTATAATAAAATAACACAATATTAATATATTTAATAAAACTATTTCTAAAATTTATTTTATTTATTAAAAATATGATTGTACAATTATCTGAACATTTGACCAATTTGTTAAGCTTTTTAGGTTTTTTTTAAAATTATAATCAGCTTGCGGAAAAAACAATTTTCAAAAATTGTCTGATTATTAGTCTAAATGAAGATGAATAATATTAAAAAATTAATTTTACAGATATTAGCCTCTACCTTAAAAATTAATTTGAAGACAACAATGCAATATACATTTAATCTACATTACACTAGTATGCTAAAATATTATCTTATCATAGATAAATTTGTTATACACAATTAACATTCTCCGGTGATTTTTTTTTTTTTCAAAATATTAAATAATTTTTTTCATATTTTATATTTTATTGTACATATTAACATGCATATTTTAAGCTTTAATAATAAGTTTAATGAAACCAAATATTAATAAATAATACCATATACCTTAACTAACTCTTTGGTTTCCTCAATGAGTTCTCCATGTTTTTTCAAAGAGTTAAAGGTCTTTGTATAAATGTAATTCTTTTCTTCCTCCATTTCACTAATCCTGAAAAAAAAAATTACATTATAAGTTAAACGATATAAACATAAATATATATTTAGGCATATTATACAATTAAACAACCATACTTACTGCTGGCATAAATTATTTTTTTCTTCTGTTTTAACTTTAACCTCAGTGTTATCAAGATTAATACTTTTTATTTCAGCTTGAATCTCATACAACTTATTTTCATGCTCTTGTTTAGCCTAAAGTAATAATTTAATATAATATTATAATAAATGAAATTATAAAATTAATATGTATAATTCCAAGCAGATTAAAGAGTTAGTATATGACAGGTAGTGGGTACTATATACTAGTTGTGTCTCGAAGATATTTGCCATATATATAAATAATAATATTATCGGTTTCACTGATGAATTTCTTTCTAATTATATAAATGTTTTACTTCTTTTTTTTTATTATTATTCAAAATTAAAACTATATGTAATGAAAAAATTGTAGTTTATTAGTGATCGATAAATATAAATGTTGGTCTCAAAATTGTAATTGTATTTCGTCATTCCACATAATCATAATCATAGATTAGTATCAACCTTACAATAATTAAACATAGATTATTACAGATTATTATCAACTATAGCCACGGCGTTGATATTTCAGTATATTTCTCAATAAATCTGGTATTATTTTATCGTTGTACAGTTTATTTTATAATCATTATAACGAGTAAATTTCAGTATCACATTGCATTTAATAGAAAAAGTGTAGTGCTTATAATGAAAGAAAAAGTAGACATCACTATACGATTGAAAAACGTTAAAACAAGTTGAGTATTAGCTAAAAAGTACTATGTTGGAACATCCACAATTTCAGTTGTACAAAGAAAAGATAAATATAGGCCATTTCATTCCAAAACTTTTGATTCATTAAATTTTTCAAGATTTTATAATAAATTGTGTACAATGAAGTCAATTCTTTTATTTTCATTTTTATAACAAATTATTTTTTTACTATCACACATTTCTAGTTATATTATAAATAATTAATATAATGTATTAAAAATGTATAAATGTATAACATTTTTTAATGTCTCATGTTTTAAATATCCAGACCCCCTTGACATCAATTAGACCAAATAATTGACGTTCTACTATATTTTCAAATATCTATAAATAACTTTGTATTGATATTAAATATTACTACTTTTAATTGAGGTTAATGATGATTATAATCTAAACTAGAAGTCTTGAATATTTATTTATTTTTTAATTTCTTAGTAAGAAATTAATGAATTAAAAAAAAATAACAAAATTAAAAATTACAATGGAAACATCAATTAGCTTAAGAGTGCCAGTTTAAAAACATTGAAAGGCTGTAGATTAAAAACCCTGAATTTAGACTGTCAATAGGGCTTTATATAATGATAAAATTAAGTTTTTTCTATCTGGCGATAAAGATTTAGATACACTTAAACCGGTTTTAGAGTATTAAATAATAATTACCTCAAACTGACGATCAGTGATTACTAACAAACGTTTTTTATCAGCTTCACGTTCAGGGTCCAATTTTTCAGCTATTTTCTTCAATTTGTTATACTCTAGCTCAGCCTAAAATAACAATATATTTCAAAGGTACACATAAAAATTTGTTAGTAGTATACTTATTTGTATTCATTTTATTACTTACTGAATCTAGTTCTATTCTTATAGAAGCAATTTTGTGTTCAACTTCTTTCAGTTTTTCAACATTTTTGTTTTTTAAACCTTTCAATAATTCATCAACTTCTTTCAAAGACTCTCTTATATGTAAAGCAAGTACATTTTTATCCGCTATTGCATTTTCAAGTTCAGGTAATACAACAATATTTTCAGCACACATTTTATTGTATTGAACGAATAATTTGTCCAGCTAAACAATTAAAAATTATAAGTTTATAAACAAGATAATTACAGTAATTAAATTATTGTGTTCTATAAACAAATTAACAAAATATAAACCAATTAAATAAATATATAAAAATTTGTAAAACAAGCATAATATATTCTTAAAAATAAGTAAAAATAATATTATACTTGAACACATATTCTAAGTAAAACAATTGTACCTAAGTAACAATTATTAGAACATATGTAATAGTAATACCAATAAATGTAGTTCTTTTACTATAGTTTTAAATTAAATACAATTTATTAAATAAGTAATACTTTTTGAAAATCGGTTGATGTTATAGACAATAAATTGGAAATCAAACAAATATTTGAAATTATACTTTTTTTTTTTTTTGTTACTTTTATAAATATAAATTATATACTTTAAGATTATTCAAAATATATATCATATTAGATGGAGGAGAACATTCTACTACTGTAATATTTTTCTTTTTAAAACCCAACTAACAAAATTTGTATCTTATATAAATTAATTAATACTAACTTTTAATCTAACATCAACAACATTTAAATCTTCAGAGTAGACTATATTTGAGTATTCTTCTAAGCAATTTGCTTCATATTGTATGTCTTGTTTCAGACTAATAATATCTTCTTCAATAATTTTCTTATCATCTTGAGTAATTTGTTGACCATTAATACAACTTTTGACCACATTCAATTCCCTTTGTAAGTTTTCAATATCTTTTTCTAAACAATATTTCAAATAATAATATAAGTATTAAAAAATAATAATAATAATAACAATAAAATAATTAATTGACATGACTTAATTTGATTTTGTTTACTATAGTTATAAGTTATTAAACAAATCTAAATTTTTCATGGTTAACAGAAAAGAATACTCTATCTCATATACATATGTATACTAGCTATTTCCATTCAGTTCATTGTTCGTACAAAATGTATCCTTGTAATAATTGATTGCCGAATGCTAATATTATCATATTTTTGTTTTTCTGATTTTGTATATAAAGGATATTTCTAACATATCAATTTGATATAGCTGGCCTGCCCAGAGTTTTACTTATTTTTGACCAATTAACAGCAGCATTTTTTTTTTTTTTTTTTTAAATTCTGGACCAAATTCAACAACTAAAAAGTTTCAATAATGTGAACCAAAAACAACGAAAAATTTTATACTGTTATACTATATCAACAATTCGCTAAAATACTTATCTCTAAAATTAATATTTTAAAGGGGGTATTTTCCAAATATTTAAAAAATTAACGACTCAATTTTTCATTATCTTAAATAATTAGAAATAAGCTTAAACCTGCTTCATTATAAGCTATTTATTTTATTTAAAAAAAAAAAATCAAGTTAATTGAACGATTAGTATCAGAGAACATGCCTAACAAAGATTTCTATATTCACATTTATTTATATATATATATATAAGAGAAACTTTTAATGGCCATTGTTTTTTTATCAGGTTTGGTCAAACAAAAACCCTCAATTAAATTAGATTTTTTCATAAGCTAGTGTTTCAGGTGATCCACTGAAAACAAAAGGTTAAGGTATGTATTTACAGTATTATCTTAACAAAATGTGAGCAAAACAGTTGATGAAATAATAAAATGACATTCCCAAAAGTATAGCTCACGGTGCATATTAGCTACATTCATTTCCACCATGATGGGTAGAATACAATTGCCTGGGATTACTTTTATATAAAACAGAGTATATAAATATACTGTAGGACATGTAATAGTGATAATCACTTATTATTTCATTAATACATTGGCTTAACAGTCAAATTTAGAAAAAAATAATAAACCAAATATAAAATTTAAATAAAAAAAAATACTTAATGTATATATTTAGGCTATAATATAATTTAATATATAAATACAACACTAAAAATTATATTAAATGTGTTACCACTAAACTTAGTATAAAAAATAAATAAGTTTAATAAAGTTTAATTAAATACCTTGAAAAACACGTTCATCTTTTTTCTTTGAAATATATTCTAGCACTTCTCCATGACAAGTTTGTAAATCTTTAATATATTTTTTTGAGTTCACAATATCTTTTTGTAATGCAACTTTCATAGCTTTCATTTCCTAAAAAAACAAACATATTTTAATTTTAGCATATTTTTAGGACATTTAAAAAAAATAAATATAATTTTACAAATTACAACTATTATTTTATAATTTAATTTTTGTACCTCATATCAATACACAAAGAACAAACAAAATAAATTAAAATAATATAAAATAATAAAATAACTCTTGCTAGTGTAATTTACCTTCTACCATACACATGGTATTTCAAAAATAATAAACAAGTCAAGCATAAAAATAACTAGGATTAGGATTTAAATTTTGAATGTGTATTATTAATTTTTTTTTTTTTTTAATATTTACTATACCTCAAAAAATTTACCTATAATAAACAGTCGAACTTGGTTAACTCAAAGTTGAAAGAACCAGAAAAAAGTTCAAGTTAACCAAATTAAAATTTTTTAAAACAGTACAAAATATATTAATTTCTATGTATTTATTATAAATAATGTAATAAAAAATATTTACTAAGTATTTATGTATGAATTATATATAAGTAATTTTAAAAAGGTATGTACGTATAAACAAAAATGAGGTTAAAAAATATTTAAAAAAAGGTACTTTTGTTTAAATTTTGCTGTTGATCGTAGCAATTCTAGTGAATTGTTCTAAACCACTTATCAGTAACGATAATGCTAATGAATAATAACCTTATTTTCGATTTTAAAATATATAAATAGGTACACGAAGAAAATATTACAATTTTATAATATTAATTAAACTCAAAACTTCGAATTATCCACGAAAATATTTAAGTTAAACAAGATTTTTTCACATTGTTTAAATAGGAAATTCTAGGGACCGCTTAAATGGTTTGAGGTATTGACGATTTTGAATTAAAGAAGTTCGAGATAACCAAGTTCGACTGTATTTAAAAAGATATATAACTGTATACAAATAAAAAAAAAAATTAATGATAATTGTATTGCTTTGTAGAAAGTTAATTATATTAAATGTTAAGTTCATAATTCTAATATGCAGACCTCTCGATTTTCTATTCTAACCTGTTATTCTAGTTGTAAAGGATGTCAGAAAGTACTAAACAAATTCATGAGCTTAATAAAACATAACTAAAAAGATAATAAAAGCTAATTATTATTAAATATTATCTAACAGAATAAAATGAACTAACCAGTTTTTTTTTGAAATACAGTAAAGTAGTTACCTAAAATTATTTCTTTCAAACTATTAATGTTGTGTATTTTAACTTTACCTCTAATTTTTGTTCTTCAGTAAGGTCATTTAGTAAATCCAACTCTTCTTTATGACTATTAAGTTCTGCCTCCAATTTGATCAAAGCTTCCTCATCAATACCGAGTGTATTTTCTAAATTAAATAAAATATAATATAACATTACAATTACAACAATATAAAATAAAATAACATTAACTAACTATAATTTTCTAGTAAGAGCTCTTCTTGTTTCTTTAAGAATTCTTGATCTGCTGGTTTACCAGATCCTCTACTCTCAACTTGATATGAATTTAATAAAAACGGCAAATACATCTACAAACATTAAACATAATTTATGATAATAAATTAATAATAAATATTACTGTTATAATAATGTTTTTGTAACATAGAAAATTAGAATTATCTAAGTGTATATTATTGAAAATAAATATTATAAAACAATTAAAATTAACTACACATATTTCATTTTAGATAGCTGTATATATTTAAGTTTACTTCTAAGAGCTAAAATAAAATTTGAATAAATACCTTAAATTCAACTGTTTGTTCATAATCTTCATCTTCAGACTCATCCGGATCAAGAATTGTTGGATACAATGTATCCATAACGTTGAATCGATTTTGAGTTTCACATAATTCCACTAACCAAAGAAGTAAACCAACTACTTGTGGAAAAGAATGGCTAGCATTTACTAGAATCATGAATGAAATAAAAACATAAAGTTAATATAAAATATCTAAATTTAAATATTCAAAAAAGAAAATAAGTAGTATAACAATCATGATTAAAAAATTGGATTATACTTTGTACTTAAAAATTATAACTATAAGCCATCAATTTTCTATTCAAGACTATACCTATAATCTATATATTGTCTAATACCAATTTATTTAAACACTGAACACATATATCATGATAATTTTAATTAAATTAAAATGTATAAATCTTCTTCTTTTTTTTTTTTAAATAGATGTGGATGTTAAGATATACATAAATAATTCACAATATTACTAAGTCACAATTACTCTTGCATTAATTAAATACAGCTTTCATATGAACAGTATGTTTTTAAACATTTTGACCTGTTATTATTTTAATAGTAATGTATAATCTAACGATCAAATTTATAATTTAATAATTATAAAATTATTATTATTATTAAGTCTAAAAGCATAATAAACATTACCAGTAATCAGCCATGATTTATCAACTTTTCCTTTATAATAGTACTTCTTCATAATTTTAGGTAATTCTTCCATATATTTGCTTTTATTTAATACTTGATTTCTGTCAAGTTTATGTAATAAATACTCGCACATATCGGTAAACATAGTAGTTGTCATTGGCTTCATACTACCGTTGTTCAAAATGTGACTTGCATTAGGAGCAGTCAAAAAATAGTTTTGAATCTACAAAATAAATAATTAGTATCAAATGAAGCTTATTTTAATTTAATCAAATTCAGTACATTTATTACTTTATAAAAATTAAATAAATTAAATAAATATTATATATCACACAATGATATAATATATGTGACCAAATAAACTATAAAAATAAATCTATTGATATAAAAACGTAGTAATAAAATTAACATCACTTTGTTTCACAAGAGAACAGGCAACAAAAATTGATCGGTTCACTCACATTTGTTATCTCTGTCATAAAAGTGTATAAAACAACAAATGAACAATTAAAAGTTAATGTTTAGTTTTATTAATTTCAATATTAGAGTAAATTTACAAATTATCAAACATTGGGAAATAGGTATATTTTCAATATTTTAATTTTCATAGTGAATTATAAGTATATAAGATATAAAAAATGTTAAAATGCTAATAACTTCTTTTAAAATTAAAATATCAACAAAACTACAATGTTGTTATTTTAAATGTTTGATAATAAATGAATTTATTTTATAATTAAAACTAACCAAGCTAAACATGAATTTCTGAACATTTATTTGCTATGTTTAACACTTGTAAGACAAAGGACAACAAATTTAGGTATATCCTCCTTCATATTGCATAGAACTTCTCTACCAAACACTTATTTAAGATTAGATTTAGGCATATACAAATCCAAAAATTCAGTACTTATTCAAAATGTAAAAATAAGTATTACAGTTATTTAATAAGATAGATATAGATCATAAAGAAATATTTAATTATATTAGTACTTTATGTATAGCTGCTTGTTGAAAGTCTTTTTCAGTCAATGGCCGAACTTCTTTTCTATTTTTAACTACACCATAATTACTATAACGTGATTCAGAGCTTAACCTTCGATTCCTGCAAACATAATAATTTGTTTTGTATGATATAAAAATGTTAAATTAAAAGTCAGTAAATGATATAGTTACTTATAACTAGTATTCATTCCAGGTAAATTTGGATTAAGTCCAGGTGTAACACATGGTGTAGATGCAACTAAATTAATACCAGTAATATTCATAGATGTAGTTGAACGAACTAAAGTATTTCTTTGTTGATTGGCTGGTTTCTTCACTGTTGATAACCATTGCTTTGGATCATGTGCGGATAAATTTTCTGATGAGGCAGATTTTTTTTTTGCTGAAAATCCAGGTTTCAAAAGCATTGATTTTTTTTCCATACCACGACTTTCTCGACGACTCAATCTAATTTTTAAATAAATTAATCATTTTTATAATTGCATGGCTGATTTACTTCATAAAAATAAATTGGAAAATAGTCAAAATAACGAAATAAATAAATACCTTATATCATTGCCATCAAATGAATTTTGTCTTCCAAATGTGGAACCACCAAAAGTATTTCGCCCAGTGGCTGACGAACGTCTTCCAAAAGATGCCTTCTTCATTTTTTTATGTTTTTAACTCATTGATTATATTTAAACCTAACACAAAAACAAACAAAAAAATATATATATTTCTTAACAATTATAAAATATTACATTATATCCTCAAAGGTATTTTATAAACAAAATATTAATAAGAAAATTATGATAACAATGATAATGAATTAAATCATATTTCAAAACAGCAATTTCAATAATTATGGAATTGTAAACTGTAAACGTGTAAACTACAACTTTGAACTTACATTAAAGCCTTACGAGTTACGGTGAAAGACAGAGTTGTTGCCGAGTTGACTAAAGCATCGATTATGAAAAAAAAACGGTTATTACTGTTATTAGTTTATTACTTGATATCACATTATCACTAGAAACAAACGGTTAATATCAGTATATCATGGAAGAAAAATATTACAAGCTTTTCTATTTAAGCATGTATAATTCGTATCACGGACTAACGGACTAAGACATCTTATTTTTTTTTATTGTCCGTGATCCGTATATAGAATTATTTTACATTTTAAATTTTTATCGATGGAAAATGTAAATACTTTATTATATATTATGTTCGACTCTGAAAGTATTTAATTTGAAATTCAAAAAATAATAAAAATTAAAAAGGCCAAATGGCTAAACATTACGAATTTACGATCATAACAAGTATAACAATTATTTAATCATAGTTTGAGACTTGAAATATTATTTATACTTTATAGCCCGGACCACACGCCACCACGAACCAGGAATTAAAATCATGTTACTGTGTGATAACTAGAGACCGAAATATTATATGCACTAAAAATATGGCAAATATGTATCATAAATTTTTTATTATTTTAAACAACTTCAAACATTGAAACAAATAAAACAAATATAACAAAATTAGGAACGTTGAACCTTTCAACATCTAAGTATATCGACAAAATATTTAAATATAAAAAATTACATCATTACCTATATGTATTTAAAACAATTTAAACAAATAAAACATAACAAAATTTACAATATTGCCAATAAATGAATGCTAAACTTTTACATAACTTTCATAAGTAATTTTAAAAGTTAATAGTTTATCAATACAATATCGAACTAAAGAAGATAAAATTCTATACTATGTTGACGATAATTTTTATTTCGTCAGCATGACATTATTTACAAATTACAATCACCCACATTTCAAACCCGTATATAAGTGCATACCTACACTCAGTATGAACTATGAAGTATAAACTAACAGTCTGTCGTTTATGGGGTAGGATATTACCGTTATATTTATATGCATTAGACTTGCATAGATATTTATATATTTTTTTTAAACTTTTTATACTCTTCGCTGTTTAGTTCTATAGTATTATTTAATTATATTTGTTGATTTATATTGTAAAGTTCGCGTTTAATCGTTCTTGAATAACAAACTATATAGAAATAGAAGTCTACTATGAATTTAGAAGGTAATTAAGAAGGAAGTAATCAATTATTTTGTTGGGTAATGAATAATTATGATTTTGGAAATCATAAATTGTCAAATGTTGATTATGCTATTGTGAAATCTATTGGTTCAAATTCAATGCAGTCAGGTTTCACTCTAAAATATCTAATAATATTTATAATCTATAATAATCTGGTTTATGTAAAATAAATAGGTAGGTAATTGTTAATATTGACTTCTAAGTATTAGAAATTTGTCACCCTTTTCAAAAAATAATTATCTATAACATATAAGGTCTACAACTAAATTGAATTGTTTGTGCCTTGGTTGTATCTCATAAGTCATAACTAATATTAACTATTATCTATGTATTTTTTTTCTCCTTGTTTATTGTTAATCCAATTGTTTTTCATTTTTCCATTGATTTGCATATTATAATATCTCCATATCAGTGTTATTGTTCCATCATCCACATACACTGTCAGTAAAAAGTAAAAGTTTCTAGTTGTTTTCCATTCTGATTCTAGTTACATATGACAAGGTCTTTCTTAAAACTGATTATAATATTATAATAAAAAAAACTAAAAAACAAAGTATCCCCTATCTTAGTCCTATGACATTGAATTCTGATTTCTCTTCTCCATACTTTACTTTGCATATTAATCAATGTACATGTGCTCAAATCATTCTTACAATATTTTGGAACACCCCCTCCTATTACATGGATTATCCGTACTTGGTAATGAAATCTCTTTAATTTTTTTATGTTTTAGAATTCAAGAACCATTTTTTTAAATATTTTAAATGTATCACATTTACTTATATAAAATTCTTTAATAATTTACATGGGTGGTTTACAAGTAATCAAAATCACAAATTAATGAAAATGAAACAAAATTTAATGAAAAACAATAGAAAAGTAAATGTTGAGCATTAGTCATTTATTAGGTGTATTTAGCCTTTAAAAAATTGTTTTAAATCTTAATACTGATAATATTTTTTAACAATAAGTGCTATGCACTAACTGTATGGAAACAATTAGTAGAAAATACTACTTAAAGTATTAATATTTTTTATTTTAATCACATTTTTGCTACACCAATAACTTAAAATAAAACCATGAGTATGTTTGTTTTTGTAGGAAATCGGACATTCTAAGTTAGTAGGTTACTAACAAATAATTAATATATTTAATTTAAAATCAATAAGCACCAAGATTTTCTTACAAACATTCAACTCATTCAAGTATTGCAATAAAAATAAATAAATACTTTTTATATCAATGATAGTATTTTTTTATATACATAAAGAATATTAAAATATAAACCTTTTATAGTTATTAAATTGTTTTAGTTAATTTATATTATTTCTGTGATAGTATCTGTTATGTGTATGTTATTATAAATAAATACATTCAACACAAGCAACTGCTTAAAAAAGGCATGACAAATTTATAATATATTTGTGATTTGTTCATATTTGTTTTCGGATTTAATATATTAAATATTTATTAAATTGCCAATGACAATAATTAGAATTTAGGAAATAATTAAATTTAATGCTAAGTATAAAACTTGATTAAAAAATAACCATATTACTTTATTATGATACTGTACAACAATAAACAATAATTATCAAATGGGTAACAAAATTAATTTAATTTATGAGGATACATTTCCAAAAATCACACCATCTCATTAATGAGTTATATTCAAGAAAAATTATTTTAAAAATTTTAAATGTAATTATTAATATGAAATACAGTTAAAACAATATACCCGAAGGAACTTGTTGAACATGACCATCAATGTGATTTACAGTTCTCCTCAAAAACATCAATAAGTTACTAGCACCAGTCAGCTACTAGTACACATTTCTTAATCAGTCTGGTTATGTTTTCTTTTTGAAATCTGCATACACCATCTATAATTCAGTAAAATAAACAATTATATAACACAATAGCAATGAAAACAATAATAGTCATTCAAATTAAATAATTACCAAAATTATTTACTTGTTGTTGAAATTTAATAAAAAATTGATTATCAATAATAATAATATTTCTGTAAAAACAAAATACACATATTATGATTTTAAATTATAAAAAAAGTATTGAACAACAATAATAAAATTATAAAACTATTGATTATTCTATAATCAATGATAAAACATACTATTTTTCGATAATAAAAATACTCTATAAGTAATAGTGAATAAAAAGTATGATACACATACCATTAATGAAATATACATATTAACCATATAAGTATGAAACCAAGATTTACAATGATAAATTTACACACAATAGAGTATTAATATTTAAAGTAATAATTATTTTTATTAATTCTACTTATTTTATACTAAGAAAAAGCATGTTATTATCATGGTTAAGGATGTTAAATTATATAATACCAAGGAAATAAAGAAATTATTTTTTAATAAAAAACAAATTATAAATTATATAAATATTAAATGTATTGTTACACTATTACACTCAAACGTTATTGTGGAAAATGACGGCATTGGCTAGTAAAACTAAAACAATTTAACAGGAAATGAGCTTTTTAAAATTTCTTTACATAAATAGCTAATTGTGAACATTGATTATGTATGTTTCTTAACCAAAAACGTCTTTTCCAAATAATGTCTTCCATGTTAACATGTATATTAAAGTAACTAACCAATCGCTCTAATCTTTTCATCCTTCTTACTCTCTCTTTAGTTTGGGTAAATGTGTAATTTTTAGCTGCTTCTTGGTGCCTGCCAAAATTATAAAAATTAAAATATAATTAAAATATAATCAAAGTATTAAACGTTTGAATAATACAATGTTATATACCACCTATACAAATTACACAAATCAAATTTAAAAATTAAACCAAATTTACATAAATTACCTACACAATTATTTAGTTTTTTTTAGTTATATTTGTGTAAAATCATACATTCACCATTTGAAGATTCAAGTTTGTTGTTTTTATAATTTTGCGACCATCTTATAATTATATTGTGGTCTAATGCATAATGCACAAAAGATACTCTTAAGCATGAAGAACACAACATATCACATACATCACAAATTAATGTTATTAATTTAAACTGATCAAGCAAGCATCATCTAACCCAGGGAAGGCTCATATTGAAAAATTTTTCGGCCCACAAAATTTATCACACATTACTAAATAGTAAAATAAATAAATTAAAACTATTACATATTATCTATGTTAATAAATTTTGTATTTTTTTTATATTTTTTTGTATTAATACTAATATAATTTTATATGTAGCCCGCTGAAATGTCAACACAATTACCTAAACAAATTTAATAAAAAATAAAATAATATGTGGCCCATGAGATCGTATTGTATTTCCAAAGTGACCCACAAGATCATTTAAGTTGGCTACCCCTGGTCTAACCTAACCATGTTAAGTCTCTATGTTTAGTTTTAAAAAATTTCTTTTTACTTCATTAGTTTTGTAAACAAATTAGTATAAGTATCATAAAATTGTACTTAATTATTAATTTATAAGTCATTTCAACTTGATTATATTGACATTTTTAAAACAAAAGGTGATAACTGAATATGTAAAAGTTCTGTTTTATAATCAAATTTTATCATCAACTTAAAAAATAATTAATTCTGAAAATTTTTTCTTCTACTAATGTTTAAAAAATTGAAATAATTGTATTTCAAAAGCAAAATAAGCTAATAGTTACTAAAATACATTTATTCCAATAACTAAAGATAGCGGGTCAAATAAAAATAAACTTACGAAATTATTTCATCTTCATAAATATTCTGAACAGACATTGTTGTTGTAATTTTTGGATCAAGGCCTTTTTCAGTGAGTGCATTTCTCAAGAATGGTACATTTAAGTCAATGGGCGAAGGCTCGTGGTTATGAGGAGTTCGAATAGAAATTCGGTTATCCATTTCATCTTTACTAATTGATGCTGTACCATAACATAATGGACGACTAGGGTTTCGTTGTCGTTCACATATTAATGTTATTGTATCGACTAGAAACTTTTTCTTATAATATTTATAACCTAAATTATCCACATATATTTTTGTATTGCGTTGAATGCCAGGGAGGGTTCTGTAAATTGTTGGCTCTGGATCATGAACCTCATCAGCAGCAGCATCATTATCAGCAATATCAGTTGCAGCATCATTATCATCATTCTTTAATATTAGCGTAGTAACTTGTGTGGTATAATCATGATCAATTATATGATTTAAAGCATAATTGTGATCAATTAAATGCTGACTTTGACTATCCATGTTTACGTAGTTATTTAAATTATTGTAACCTATACACTAAAAAAATTTAAAATATTATTAAATTAACACATAAGTATAAATAATTATAAATTAGTTGCAGAGTTTTAACAGAGAGCACTAGATAGATTCATAGACAAAATTAATTAGTAAAATGAATTGTGAACTAGGATTAAACTCTGAAATCAAAATAATGAAATCTAATGGCAGCAAACCAAACAATTTAAAAAAAAAAATACCAAGCAATATTTGGCTTTATAAATAAATTACATTGTGTCCAACTTAAATATAATTAAATTTGAATCAATGTAAAACAAGATTTACTAGTGATCTGTAATCTAAATATTGCTGTAGAGTATAATTATTCAACTTTACTATTATTTTTTAAGTTCCTTATTGTCCAACCAACTAAAATTCTAATTCAATTATTAATCAAACCAATATTTACCATTTATATGATTAATTGATCAATTCCAAGAATAATGGTATCAGCCAAAGAAGACTATTGATAGAAAATATGTACTTCATTCTTATTATATTTAATATTAAAATGGGTTTAAAAACAAATTGATAACTGAACTAACTGAAGTGAAAATTGTTCCTTCAAATGATCATAACTGTTATGCAAAATATCAGTGTCAATGAAATCTGAAACAAATATAACAAAAATTAAGTATCAACTAAAATCTAAATATACATAATATAATATACAAAGAAGAATTGTTATTAAATAAATAATAGATGATATATTCATTGTGGTAAAATTGAGTCCTTTTTTCTTGATTTAAAATTAATGTTAATGCCACACCACAATATGTCTTGTATATGATTAACATTAACTATAAATACATAAAATTATAATTTATAACTCTAAAATATATAATAAAACAACTTTTATAATTAATTCTGAATTGCTAAAGAAATATGTTTCCATTCTAAGGTTAATGCTATATAGTATATTACTTACCATAAATAGTTAATAATAATAAAATAATATTAATTACAATGTGTCGGCCAGACAATTGATTTGAATATAGAATTTATAGGTATTTATATCAGCAAGATACATTAATAACTAATATTTACTCATTTATATCGCAAATGAAAAATAATTCTCCAAAAAAAAAAAAAAAAACTACAGATATTGTAATATTTTAAGTATTAAAATGGATAGTATTAATTTATATTTACATTCTTTTTTAAAGTTAGATTTCTAACCATGAACAGAAATAACAAATATTAAATATGAATATACTATATTAAAAGACTTTTCTTTTCAAGTTCAAGGTTACATTTAACTACTTACTACTTAGTACATATATAAGACTTGGAAGTTATGGCTTTTTGACTTCTGAGTGTTATCTACAAGTCATGCTTTTGACTGTCTTATCAGCTATAATTCTTATCAGGGACAGATCTGAAAATATCATAGACCATAAAGTAACTTGTTACCACATTACCACAGAATATAATGTACGATATTATGTTATGTAGTGTAGTGTTCAGTGGCCAGTGTTCATTGCCTATATATTAACCGCTGTACTAATTACAACATTTAATTCAGTGGTATCAACCATCAACGTATTATAATCATATTTTTTTGTAATTAAAAACTATAATAAATTTAAAAAATAGTCCAGTAGATTTTTTTACTTAAATATTAACATTGATAATATTGATATTAGCAATTCGTGAAGTCGTCGTCCAATGAGCAAATTGTATGAAATATTAATTTTTTTAGTAACCGGTTAAAAAGTATTAGTTGGACAAAAATTCCAAAAATATAAATTATAAATAATAATTAAAATATTTTTTTATTTTTATAGTCTTATTATTTCTTACGCCTAAACCCAAATATAACGGAAATCCACTTTAGTTAGGTAAGTATATAAAACCTATCGAATGTTTATCGCGTCTGTTCTTATGTTTACAGTCTACAGCTGTTTATCTACCACAATAATTAATATTATACCTACAGGCAAGGTGGATAAAAGCAGGCTAAAAGCGATAATCAATATATTACAGTAAAAGCCGCTTATTAGAAACACTTTGGGACCAAGGTGAATTGTGTCAATTAACCGATTGTTTCTAATAAGCGATTGAAAAAAAAAAATGAATAATAGGTACGCGAAAAAAATATGTATGTATGTATGTACCTATATTGTATAATTTAAAAAAGTATGCACAATTGTGTATATTTTACGATATTATGTAAAATATTTATCATTCGTAATTTGTTTTTTTACGTCGAGTAACTCCATGACCATATTTTCATACGAGTAATATTGCCCCTTTAGCTTTGTCACTTATTTTGAGTGCGTATGTGTGTTCAGGTAGAGCTCCAAAATAAAGCCCAGTCTCGTCCGCATTGAAAATATCAGAGCGTGTGTATTGGGCTAGCAAATCGGTCAAATGAGTTTCAAACCACGAATGGTCGCATGAAAATTGGCTAAAATCTTAGCGTTTAGACATTTTTAGATTTTTAGAAAAAGGAAACACTAATAATCTTTACATACGCACGCTGAAGCTAAACTACAAACGGTACGACCAGTACGTACAGAAAGAGCATTCTCGCGATAAATTACAGTAAAAATAAACGTAACGACAGCAAAGATAAAATTGAAGTACATTGGTTATCGCTAAATAATCGGTGTATATGTCAACTGACCTTCTCCCAATTGTTTCAAATAACCGATGTGATGTTTCAATAATCCGATTTATTTTCAATGTTCTAATATACGGCCGATCCGTCCCGAGACATTTTGTTTCAATAACACGATTGTATCAATTATCCGTGTTTCTAATAAGCGGCTTCTACTGTATATCATTGCCACGATTATTACATAGATTTAGATAATATAATATTCATTTATTTCATTAATATCATTTACATTTTTATGATGGACGTCCCAGTCGAAAGTTATGAGTTATGACCAAATTGGATTTGTCACTTCGTGTATCATAATTCACAAAAAATAATTTAAAATAGATGTAAATTTAAAAATTGTTTTTAATAGATATACCTACATGGTTTATCATGAACGACATGAACTTATATCTAATAAAATTTCCAATAGTAAGTATTTTAGTGTTTAAACAACAACGTCAACTCCTTCATAAATTTTTGCTTAATTTATAAATCACTAATCAGGTACCAGGTAGATTTAAATATCCTTTGTAAACCGAAAAAACATTAAAATAAAATATTACAGCATCAAAAAAAATAAAGGTAATCTTAAAAACTATTATGTTTGTTAGAACTTATTATTCGTAATGATTAGACAGCGAACAGAGACGAACGATTCTTACTTAATAACAATTATCCGAGATCCCATAATAATTTTTCCATTGAATCAAGGATTACTAATTTATCAAAAACTGTAGGTTTTCATTGAGTACTTACTGAATGTTTTTTTTTTTGCAATTATATGTCAGAATTAAAAAAGTATAATTTTATTATATCAATATTTTATTTACTTAAAAAACTCGTAGTACATAAAAAAACATTTAATAATTCAAGGATGTTTGTGTTTATTATTTTTTTTCAAAGCACGTATAGAAGACAACAAATGATTTCAAAATAAATATAATATAGATAACGTCTTTAGCCATTATTGTAGTACTTGAAATCAATTTGTACATTCGAGAAACAGACATAATTGAGTATCCCGGTGTGATATATTGTGTTCTGGAATACAAAAAAAAAATCTGGATTTCAAAATTTAAACGAAATAAGCCATTATAATATGTACCATGTTTTGTTTTATGAAAAATAGAGTGTATACAACTATACAATGCGTTAAATTACATTCCAACAAGAGTTTTTCAAAGAAGGGCCTAAATTTTTTCAACATGTAAATAGTATAAAAAGATTCTTTTAATAAAAAAAAAACCTTAAGAGAACAAACATTTTGATTCATAAACTCTTTGATTGGTAAAAAAAATAAGTATAAAATAAGGCTTGAGTACGTCTCTACATTAACCATGTGGTTTTCTATCTTTTTTGTATGACGACACCCTAATTTAGATCCATAAAAATGGCAAAACACAGGCACATAGATACAATATAGAAATAAGCTTTTTTTTGCTCATTAATTGTTTAAAAAAACTTCTTCAACTATAGAAGTAAATAAGAACTGAAGGTTGTAGCCCATAAGCGCAAAATATAACCTAAATGCAACCTAAAAACATAAAAATAAAAATACCTTTTTAACAAACCATTAGCGCAAATACATTTTACAAAAATGAAGTGTATTTTATAAGTTAGGTTATTTATTTATTAATGTATACAATTATACTTTATATATTATATAGACGTATAGTTATCTATCTTAAATGATTATCAACCTTTACCATAATTCTTTATACGACAGTACTTAACTTCAACTGAACTCGATCACTGTTGATGTATTTTTGAATTATAAAAATACTATACAGTGTGATCACGATTTATGGTAACACTAAATATCTCAGGTGCATGACCTTGTATTGAACTGGGGTTTTCGGGAGGTGATAGGGAGCATTTAAATACATATTTTCAGACCAGTTTCAAATTTTTAGCTCACTCGGTACGCGCATGCGCAATACAACTTACTTTTTTTTAAATGGCAACCCCAGTTTTTTTCTGCAGATTCAGGTAGAGTATTTTTTTTTAAGCATTTTTTGTATCAACAGTTTTTTTCTATTTTCAAAGTGACCATGTTAGAAGTATAGTCAAAATTTGATTTATGCATAATTCGTTATTTAATGTATGGTTGGTTAGTTGGTGGAAAGCTAATAGGAGTTCTTTATGATGGTACACTTAATGGAACGATACCTTAATTTTTAACCAATGAACTACACAGACTGTTGGATGATGTTCGTGACACACGGAACGTATGTTTTCCAGCAAGATGGAGCACCAGCCACAATGCAATTATGTTAGACGACATTTAGATCAAATATTTCCGAATCTGGATTGACTTTTGGCGTCATTCGGCCTGCACGATCCCCA